GATAGTTTATTACCTTGACTATGGTGGTGGTTTTGCAGATGCACACATACATCAAAGCTCACCAAACTGCACACTTTAAACATGTGTGTTTTATTATATATCAACTATATCTCAATAAAGCGGCTAAGGAATCTAGAGACGGGGTGACTGGGCATGGGAACAGATGAACCAAGACTGACCACGACTCGACGAGTCTTTGAAACTGGGTGATAGTCCATCACGATTCCTGATTCCCTCTACTTCTGAACAGGTTTGAAATTTTCATGATAAAAAAAGTTTTTTTCCCAAAATCAAAAAGGTTTTATAAAAGAAGAGATAGAATAATGCACTTGTGTACGTCTGGAGGTATTTTGCATGCTCTGTGTATGTGAAAATAGAGCCACTGCCCCAAGAGATGAGACAAATGTGACTTGCTTGGTAAGAACATATCTCCTGGGCGTAATGAGACATATTTGGAACAGGGAGANGTGTACGTGAAAATAGAGCCACTGCCCCAAGAGATGAGACAAATGTGACTTGCTTGGTAAGAACATATCTCCTGGGCGTAATGAGACACATTTGGAACAGGGAGGTGACTGACAAATGTTTTCTTGCAGGAGACAGTGGGTGAACAGAAGCTCTCTGAGAAGAGGTCACTGCCATCGAAACCCACAACTGTGGCCCTCCCTCCAGGGAGCACAGCCGTGCCGTTCCCTTTCCCCTCTCCTCCCCCCACAGGCACATATCTCTTAAACTCCAAGGGACCCCACCAGACCCGCAACCAGGGGAGCAGTGGGCAGTGGCAGCTCATCCTGGGCGAACCCCTTGAAGCTGTCTCCAAGGCCCCCTTTTCTCTGACTCCACAGGGAGCCAACACAGCCCGGCCTAGGCTCTCCTGCTGCTTCTTCTGTGCCCTTCCTTGCTTCACTGTCCTAAGTGTGTTTTTGCTGAGGTCAATAAGTTCTTGCTTGCTTTTCTACAAAAATTAAAAAAACCCACAACCGTGATTGGGAGTCACTAGAAGCTGACAGCTCAAAACACCAGAGAGCTGAACCAGGACCCCGAGGGCTGAGCAGTCCAAGGTCAAACTCGAGACTCCCCACCCCCAGCTGCTTCTCAGTCTCTCCTGCAAAACCCCAACCCCCCAGTCCCTGGAAGGAGCCCCTGGCGGAAAGATAGGCTCTTACCTCCTGAACAGCTCACGCAGGCTGTGCAGCGCCCATCCCTGTCCAAGTAGTAGTCCTGCTCACATTGCTTCCTGCAGTCGCTGGACCCCAGCGGGCACAGGTGCTGTGGGGACAGCCCTAAGAAAAGAAACAAAGACAGTCCAGTCCAGGTCACCTTGGCAGAGGCCTCACCTCCTCACAATCACTGAAGCGCCCCCTGCCCCAGCTCCCTAACTGCACACGTCATTTCCACCCTCCAGAGGGAGTCATGAGGCTCAGAGAGGGAAGGAATGTGTCTTAGGCCACACAGGAGAAGAGCTCTGAGCTCCCCTATACTTTCGGTTCCCCCTCCACGATCCATCATTTGCACTATGCCAGAGCCCTCCCTCCATGCTCACTGCTATGCCACTGCCCTCCTCAAAACCTTGGCAGCCACTTTTCCTTTGAGATCAGCCATGAGGCAAGGGTGCCTGCTATCACACCCTCTATCCAGCATGGTACAGGGATCCTAGGCAATGCAATAAGACAAGAAAAAGAAAGAAAGGTGGTAAGATTGAGAAAGGAAGCTATCAATCTGTTACAGACAGATGATATCACTGCGTACACAGATAATCCCAACGAATCTGCAGATCATTACTGGAACTAATAAGTGAATTAGCAAGGAGGTTAAATACAATGTTATTATATCGGGATCAATGAAATGTCTATATTTGGGTTGAATCACATGAAATTGCTGTTTTGATAGGTTAAATATTAGCAAGTTCACATGGTTCAAAAAGAGTTAGAACATGATGTATTGAAAAAGACCATCGGCATCATCACTGGAAATATCAAATACCTAGAAATTTAACAAAAAGATGTAAATATCTCTACATAGAAAATGGCAAAGCACTATTGGGAGAATTTAAAGGAGGCCTGGATAAATGCAGGGCTGTGCCCTACACTCAACACCGTCACAGGGGAGCCTCTCCAACCTGATCTCCAGCTTCAGTGCAACCCCAACCAAAATCCCAATGGGACATTCTGTGCAATTTGAAATGACTGATTCTAACATGTACGTGGAAAAGCAAATTACTAGAATGGTCAACGCACGGCTGACGAACAAAGTTGAAGAGGCGGCTCGACCATCCACGAAGACTTATTGAAAAACCACAGGGATTAAGCAGCATGGCATTCGCGCAGAAGAGACAAGACGCATGGGGCAGGATACAAAGGCCCGAACCATACCCGCAGACACGGGCGCCCGACCTCCACAAAGCTGGCACGCAAAGGCGAGGGGAAGGACCGCGTGTCTGATCAGTGTGGTGGTTCAGCTGGGTGTCCGCATGGACACTTTTAACATGACCACTGCCTCGCACCGCACACACGAGCCAAGCTAGATGGCAGAGCCAAGCTAGATGGCAGAGCCAAGCTAGATGGCAGAGCCAAGCTAGATGGCAGAGCCAAGCATGCAAGGGGAAACAGTGCTGATCCCAGGCAAGAAATGTGGGACGTCTTCGACTTCAGGGGAGGAAGAGACTTACAAAGCAGGACATAAAAAGCACCGGTCACAAAGGAGATGAGTCAGTCTGACCGCAGTAAGACTAAGAGCATCTCTTCATGGAAAGACCCCGGGGAGACTGAGAAGGTGAGCCACGGGGGGGGGGANATGTGGGACGTCTTCGACTTCAGGGGAGGAAGAGACTTACAAAGCAGGACATAAAAAGCACCGGTCACAAAGGAGATGAGTCAGTCTGACCACATTAGGACTAAGAGCATCTCTTCATGGAAAGACCCCGGGGAGACTGAGAAGGTGAGCCACGGGGGGGGGGACACAACTATAGGACAAAGGGCTCAAAACCCAGAATTATAACAAGTCCTATAAATCAATTAAAAAAAAAAACACTCAAGAGAAATGAAAAATACATTCCAACAAAGATTCGCCTTTCATTATAGCCAAGAAGTGGAAACAATCCAAATATCCAGAGACTGTCTGGATCAGCAGTGAGGCGAACCTATACGATGGAAGGCTATTTAATAATACACAGGGGCATGGCCAGCCCATCGCCGTGGGAGCCAGGAGAGCATCAGATCGACACCTGCAGAGGCCACCTGCTCCGTCACAAGCAGCAGTGCCTGTCTCAGAGTCTGGCACACAGGAGGCCCCCAAAACTGGTGTTAAATGAGTGAGGGCTTCCATGATCTACTCTGGCCCTTGACGCTTTCAGTCTCTCTTCTCCCCCCACTGGGAAGGACCACAGCTCAGTGCCCGCCTGCCCGGAGCCCCCCCACACACACAGGTCACCCACCAATCAGACACCGTTGCCGTGGGAAACAGCCTGTAGCTCCTCTAGAGAAATTACCTGGACCCGGACTTGGCTTCCCCACAGAGGAGAGAGAGTTGGGAGCCTTCATCATTTCCGACTCATCTCCTGGAGCGAGGGGAGTGGCCCCTCCAAGAAGCGAGGTCCTGGCGTCGGAGCCCGCTGCGGTCAGGATGAGCTTGGCCTGGGGTGTGGTGCCACTGGGAAGAAACCCAGAGATGGAACGAGCAGTTCTGCCGAGGGGGTGAGGGACGCCTGTGCTGGGGGACAACCATTCCCATAGCGAAGGGGCCCCCAGACCCTCTGCCCACAGCCAGGGGGCAAGGGCTGTATTTTCTAGGCCTTCTGGTTCTCCTGTGCAATCAGGGCAGGCAGGGCACACAATAGGGCCTCAAATGACTTGAAGGGTTGGCAGAGAGGCACCCCGGAGCCCTGACACCTTGTGCTGAATCCCACCTGTACCCCCAGCCCAGCTATGGTCCAGGAACCTGTCAGGTGAGACAGCCCCACACTAAGGTCAGCTGGAGGGGAAGGGCAGGGAGTCACCTGGCAGGCGCCTTGCAGTCCTCTGGGCTGGTGCCACAGTCCGGGCTGGTCCCTGGGGAAGGTGGCTCACAGACGGTGTCGCTCTCCGCTGTGCCTGCAGGGGCCACAGTGCCTTCAGACTTGGTACTGAGGAGCCTGAAGACTCCAGGATCAGACTTTTACCCCCATAAACCAGAGTCCCAGGTGGGCGCCTGAGAAACCCAGTGGCCACCTGGTGTTTGCACCTGTCCAGCCTCCACTCCCCCTGGGGTAAAGCAGCTTCTTTCTCCCAGGAACTCTCCCCATCTCAGTGTCTGTGCTTAGGGGCTGGGATGGACTGGCTTCCCCTTCCCTTCCAAGAGCAGCCATGGGACCAGGCTACTGGCCCAGGGATGGGCGCACGACCCAAGCCACGCCTTGTGTCTGGTTGTTGGAAATGTAAGAAGAAGCTGTCTTTCCACTGGGGTTGGGAAGGAGCAAACCTGGAGCTGCTGGTACCTAAACAGGGGAGCAGAGACGAGAGATGGGAAAAGACAGAGTTCCTGGATCCAGCTATGCCTGAAGCTACCCAGAGCTATCCCCAGACTTTTTAGTTACATGAGCCAAAAAACTTGAGATTTTCTTACTTGCAACCCAAAGAGTCTCATGATTATAGTAATACAGTGGCTGCTGTGGGCATCGACGGAGAGTGTGCCTAAGGCGCCCATCACATGGTGTGACGTGTAGCAAATGCCCACAAACAGTATGTCCTTTCCTCAGTGGGCTCTTGCCCCATCACTCAGAAAGTGACCCGCGTGTGTGGGATGTGATCTGAAGGTTTTGGTGGGCGTAGGTATGAACAATGCTGACTCATCTTGTGTACCTGAGTGTGGTAGGTGACCACACCTGGGGGTGACATTCAAACCCTAGTCCAGACAGTCTCTGCTCTGTGGTCCTGAGCAATCTGTCCGCCATCCCTGGACTTCCATTTCCTCGCCTGTAAAGTGGAGCTAACACAGTCTGCCCGTGGAGCTTTGTAGACTCCAAGAACGAGAGCCTACGTGAGCTCTTAGTGAGGGGCTCAGCTAGGAGCTGAATCTAAAGCAGAAACGACTCCAGACTGAGACCCTGAGAGCTGCCCCGTGGGAGGGTCCACAGGGGAACTGAGAAGTTAGCCAGGTGGGGCAGCCAAAGGGTGGAGCGCTTCCAGAGGCTCTGTCCAACAGAGATTATGTGAATCACACGGGCCATTTTAAATTTTCTAGGAGACACATTAAAAAAGTAAAAAGAGCCCTGGCCAGTCTTGCTCAGTGGTTAGAGCGTCGGGCCACGGACTGAAGGGTCCCAGGTTCAATTCTGGCCAAGGGCACGGACCTCGGCTGTAGGCTTGATCCCTGGCCCTGGTCAGTGCGAGAGTGGGAGGCAACCGATCACTGTCTCTCTCCCCCTCCCAGCTCTCTCCAAAAAGCAATGGAAAAAATACCCTCGGGGAGACAAAAAAAAGGGAAAAGAAACATGAAATGAATTCAAATAATATATTCATTTAACTCACTGGACCTAAATATATTGTGTCATCAGGAAATCGATATAAAAATAATTAATGAAATGTTTAACATCCTTTTGAACTAAGTACCTGAAGTCCAGTGCATATTCTATACTGACAGCATCTCAAGGCCACTGGACACATTTTAAGTGCTCAGTGGCCTCGCGTGGCCGGCCACTGGGATGGCCTCGGGCAAAGAGAGGACTCTGGCGCCACCGTGTGGTAGTCACAGGAAAGCCACTGAGCGGGGCCTGCCAGCCCCGGCTGGGCCAGGCGCCCTGGTGGGAACAACTCAACTCAAGGCATTTGACAGATGGGGAGACTGAGGCCCAGAGAGCGGTGGGAACACGCCCCTCTCACAGACGCAAAGCTATAGGAAACCCCAGGTAGCTGACGTGCAGCCCAGAGCGCTTTCCACTCCGCCATCCAGCCCCGCTTGCAGGTGGCGGGCTTCTGCGTGTCCCTTAGCGGAGTGTCTTGTGGGACCCAGCTCAAGGCCGAGTAGGAGTTAACTGAGTGAATGGGAGGGAAGGGTGTCCCAGACAGAGGGAACAGCATATGCGAAGGCCTGACTAGAAGGGAAAAGCACTGCCCACCCACGGAACTGAAAGAAGATAGACCAGGTGGGGCCCAGATAGTGAGGGGCTGGTGCCAAGAGCTGGGGCTGGAGGAGCGAGGGGCGCACGTGGGGTCCTGGTAAAAACCTCGCCCTCGAGACCCTGCTTCTGGGAAGATGGTGGGTCCGCTTCCTCCTGCCCCCTCATTAGGCACAGCTAAAGGACCCTGAAAAGTGGGAAGGAAAAGGCAGACAGGCGAGGGGTCTTGGGACCCTCGAGCGACAGAGCGGAGAGTCCCCTGGGTTTTCTCTTTGCTTCACATATCCCAGACTTGGAGCCCAATAAAGCAGCAACCTAGAAAGGCCCAAGTACACAGGCTTTTAAAAAGTCCCCTAAAAAACCTGTTCTCCTTTATCAAAGGATCACCGCCTTATTATTAGAGCAATAGGAAGACACTGAATGTTTCAGGCAGGTGTGTGTGAGAGGGAGACACACGCACAACCTGGTTTGGTTTTGCGGGGAGAAACTGGGGGTGGGGCAGGAGAGAGAATCGGGAGGCAAAATCTATGGGACTTTGGGGGGTGGGCTGTCTGTAAGGGAAGGGAGGGAAGAGAGAAGACTGGCAGAGAGGGGGTGGGGATGGGACGTTGGAGAAGGGCCAGGTCACGGGCACTTTCCTCCCCGGTGGACACGGCTCCCTCTGATCCCATCTTGCCCGTGTCCCCTGTATGGTGGTGGCACCTCTTCTGGGCTGTCTCTAAAGCCCGCCCTCTGCCCCTGCCTCCCTTCTGGAAGGTATTCTCATGCCACCTACACAGGATCTGTGGCCCTTTTCTCCTCTCTGGCCACTGGCCCTCCTTGCACATCAGAACGTTAGAAGCCCAGAGAAGACAAGGAAGTTGCCCGAGGTCACACAGCAAGTTGGAAAAGAGCCGAGTTTCTCAGTCTTGAGCCTGGTGCCCAGTCTCTCGCTCCTCTGACTCCCGAGGTCTCGACTGTGAAATGGGAAACCAGCCCTCCCCTCCCAGGGACCTCCCAAGACAAGGACTTGAGGTTTCTTTCTTGTTTATTGGACATCCAAGAACTTTTACCCTGAGCCTCCCACCATCCCAAGACCTCTTCCAAGCCAGGCCTGGGCCTTGGGCCACCAGGGTCTCTCTGAGCCGGGGACACTGAGGGGAAGGGGCAGCAGGGGGCTCTGGGGCCTGGGGCACCCAAGGCATCACTGTGAAAGGGGCTGCGATCTGCCCACAGGAAGGAGGAAGGCGGAGGTGGGAAGTCGTCTGGAGGCCGGTGGGACAGTACAGCATCGGCGCAGATCTCAGCCCTGGGCTGGGGGGGGGGGCTTACCTGGGAACTTGACAGTCATCCCTGGGGGGCAGACGGAGTGGGGGGAGCAGCGGGCACAGGAGTTGGTGGCTGACGTGGCACAGAACATGCCAGGCTGGCATTCGCAGACACGGGGGGAGCTCCCTGAACACGGCTTCTTCTCCACGAGGTCATCTAAGGGACACAAAGGAGGGTCACCGAGGACAGAGGGAGGGCGAGGGAAGGGGACCAGCAGGCCCGCCAGGGACAGTGCAGCCGTGAGAGGGGGTGCTGCGTGGCCTTCGCAGGGCAGGGCAGCTGGCAGGCTCAGCCCTTTGCCAGGATGTTCCTGGGATGAGGGCAGGAGGGCAGGCGGGGTCCGTGAGGCAGCCTCACCTCCCACCCACGTCCCTGGAGATCCCTAAATTGGTATTAAAAAATAACTTAACGTCCTAATTTTAAAATGGGCAAAAAGGACATGGAGAGGCATTAAACACATATTTCTAAGTGAAAGAAACTGATCTGTAATACAGGCTATCTAGATGGTGATTTCAGCTCTAGGACATTCTGGACAAGACAAGACTACGGAGGCATCGAAAGGAGCAGCAGCGGCCCGGGCCCAGCGGTGAAGGGCTGGGGGGGCAGACAGGCAGGGCACAGAGGGGTTTAGGGCACTGGGGCTCTTCCGGATGACACTGCAACCGCGGGTACACGAAGTTATGCGTTTGCCAGAAACCACAGAACTGTGAGCACAAAGAGTGAACCTTAAAGCGAACTATGAACTTGAGTTAACAACGTGCCAGGACCGGTTCATCAGCGGTGACAATGACCACAGCCACGCAAGGTGTTAGCAGGAGACACTGTGGGGGTGGGGGGCATGTGGGGACTCTCGGTACTTTCTGCTCAATTTTTCTATAAATCTAAAGCTGTTCTTTAAAAAGGTCTATTAAGTATTTTTTTAAATAAGCCAAGGACTTGAGAAATTTTTTCTCCAAAGAAGATACACAAATGGCCAGTAAGCGCATGAAAAGCTGCTCAACGTCGTTAGTCATTAGGGAAATGCAAATCAAAACCACGATGAGATACGACGTCATCTCCACCAGGAGGGCCAGGACCAGACCGACAGACAACAGCAACCGTTGGCGAGCCCGTGGAGATACGGGAACGCTCACACGCTAGCGGGAAGGCAGGTAGGCTGTGCCGTGGAAACCAGTTTGGAGGGTCCTCGAAAAGTTAAACACAGATTTATTTGTTTTTTTGTTTTACTTATTGATTTTAGAGAGAGAAAAAAAGGGGGGGGAGAGAGAGAGAGAGAAACAACTATTTGTTGTTCCACTTAGTTACACATTCATTGGTTGAGTCTCTTATGTGCCCTGACCGGGGCTCGAACCCACAACCTTGGCGTAAGGGGACAACACTCTAACCGACTGAGCTGCTAGCCAGGGGCAAACACACATGTGCTATAGGATCCAGCAATTCCACTCCTACGTATCTGCCCAAAAGCGTCCACGCAAACACTTATACATGAGCGATCGTAGCGGCTCTATTGGTTAACAGCCAAAAAGTAGAAATGACCCAAGCGGAAGGACATTGCGACACTGCTCCAACGTCGCCGCCCCGGGAGGACAAGCTAAGGGAAATAAGCTGGTGGCAGGAGGCTCGCCTGTAGGACCCACTTCCAGGAGCTTCCCGGACGAGTCCAGCTCACAGGCTGTCGCGGGCGGGGACTGGGTGGCCGCGGGCGGGAGCTAGTGTCTCACGGCGGCGACAGGGCTTCAGCTGCGGAAGAGGAAGGAGCTCGGGCGGCCGGGGGCTCGGCCCGGTGGAGCATCGACTCCATGCCCCGAGGCCGCGGGTTCAATCCCCGCTCAGGGCGCAGACGAGAGTCAAACACTGACGCATCCCTCAGGGGGTCGGCGCATCGGTGTTTCTCCCTCCCTCTCTCTCAAATCAATACAGAAAACTTAGAAAGGAAAGAAAAAGTTCCAGACACAGCCGATGACGGCTGCCCAACCATGCGAATGCCCTTAATGCCACTAAACAGTAACTCAAAAATGGTGAAAATGGTAAACTTTGTTATGTATATACTTTTTTAAAAAGTCACGCTGAGCCCCCAGCGGCAGCCTGGGCCACGGAGACGAGCCAGCCAGCGCCCAGGGAGGCCCGCAGGTGTGACGGAGCTGTCCCCGCACCGGGCCGGGCGCAGGGAAGGCGGGCGGAGCTGCTGTCCCCGCCGAGCCTGAGCAAGAAGGAAAACGGGAGCCAGGCCACCCTGCAGGCACAGGAACGGGGGG